AAAAAAGTTTCAAAAACTGTTGGCATTCTTTCTAAGATCAGATATTATGTACCACGCCCTGCCCTGGTGACTCTCTATTACTCCCTCATCTATCCACATCTCAACTATGGTATTTGTGCTTGGGGTTCTACTACCCAAAATCATTTACGTCCTCTAATAATTCAACACAAAGCTGCTATTAGGACAATATCCAACTCTGGCCCCAGACATCACTCGGTACCCCTACTCAGATCTCTGAATATGTTAGATATTAAGTCACTGCACATTCTCTCATGTGTATTATACATATATAAAACGCTGAACTGTAATGCCAATCCTGACCTCAAACGCTTCATTGAAGGTTGTAACAGAACCCATGAGCACCACACCAGAAATAAATACAGCTTTGATATTCCAAGAGTACGACTTAATCAAACTAGAAATGTTCTACAAATCAAGGGACCCAGAATGTGGAATGACCTTCCCAACCATGTTAAAGACTGTACCTCTCTCAACCAGTTTAAGATAAAAACTAAACACTACCTAATAAATTCCCTGTAACCTACCTCACCCCTCTATTGTCAACCCATGTCTGTTATTTTATTATTATTATTTTTTTTTTAATCAACACTGTTTGTCAACCTATTGTATTTGTGCTGCTTTTTCAGTCATGTTCCCCCTTTTTTTATCTTTATTTGTATTTGTTTTCAACACTTTTTATTCTTTATGCTCAATTAGTATTAAGTTCTAGATATTAATGTTTTTCTTGCCCGAAACGCATTGCGTAATAGTGGCTTTAGGCATTGTATGTACTAGCTCTATCTATATATCAATCCATTAATGTAACATCACTTGTATGTATGTACCTTACCTGAATAAACATATTTATTTTATTATTTTAGTGGCTTTAGGCATTGTATGTACTAGCTCTTATCTATAAATCGATCAATCTTTGTAAAATATCTTGTATGTACCTTACCTAAATAAACATATTTATTTATTTGTTTATTTATAAAGCAAGGTTACGAGTACGGCGAAATGGTCACTGTTGTGGAGGTCATCAAAGATATATACAAACGTTCTTACATTCGTGTACCGCTACTAGCACGCAGTGTTTCGGGCAAGTCCTTAATCCTAATATTCCCCGGAATACGACCCGCCAAATCGTTTAACAACCAGGTACCCATTTTACTGTTGGGTAAACAGAGCATACTGTTAAGGATTGGCTCCCAGTAAATCCTACCCGGCCAGGTAACGAACCCATGCAAAAGTGCTTACAAAACGCCAGGAGAGTGTCTTACCTCTATGCCACGGGGACTGCAAAATGGAACAGACACAAAGATACAGGGGGGCAGGGAAACGAATGTTCGACTGAAAAGCAGGGGGGGCAAAGGGAATCGCATTTCGAGCCAAGAGAGCAGTAAAGTTAGGGGTTGCAACAAAAGCTGGAGAGAATGAGAGAAAATGCGGATGTGACCAGGACGAGTACCAAGCATTAGCTCCTGGAGAAATACGCAAAGTGATGACAGCTGAGAAGTTGGCATTTCTGACTGCGAAACAGGCATGCCAGGAGCAATATACTGTGTAACAGCCTCTATAGTCCGAGGTGAGTAGGATGAATAAGGACACAAGGTCGTCTGGGAGAAGGATGGATATTGGTTTGGACAGACAGTTGTCGGAGAAAGTCGAAGGACATAGAGAAACTGAAAGAAAAATGGGGACTAAAGGTGAAGGAGGTCCCCGTGGAAAGAGATGATGAAGGTGGAGTAGTTACACTAAGATGAAGGGCAACATTAGTCTGGGAAGGAAGGGTGGAGATACTAGTCTGTGAATCACGAGTAGTAGTACCCTTAGCTTGAGATCACATAGAAGCAGAAGACGTGGAGCTAGTGAAAGTGTAGAGGTTTAAGGCCTGGAAACGATTGTGAGACTCAAGGGAAGAATAAGTGCGATGTAATGCACCAGCATACATCATGTCAGAGAAAGGGGTAAGACGGCGGCTTGACGACTTTCCTCGGGAAAAGATGTGCATTCACGAAGTTTTAAGTCTAGGATGGCTTGTTCAAATTTATAATGCATGCATGTCCGGGTGAAGACAGAAGGGCCTCACCACAGTTAATGCAGTAAGCAGACAATGCTTCATATCTTCAGCCACAATAACGTGGCCAAAGATATGAAGACTAATGCAGCAAGTAATTATCAAAAAAGGCACCAAGCCGGGAAGGCTATGTAGCACCATCTAATGCAGCTAACGTGGGAAGACCACCATCTTCGAATGGCCAGTCTCCACACAAGGGACAAAGCAACATCTCACTAGTGCATTTCATTGAACCATGTCCAAATTTCCAACACCTATTGTAGAGGTGTGGAAGGGAAATGTACTCCTGAAAAGAGCATATGGCTCCAACAAGAATGACAGAAGATGGAAGAGTCCTACCATAAAAAGTGATATTAACAATATGAAGAAGTTGAAGACGACGACCACAAGGGAGACGAGTGAAGAAGTCAGCCTGGTGGATAGAGAAGCCCTGGGCCTCGAAGATATATTTAATAACCTTATGACAGTCTTTGAGGTTATAACCACCAGTTACAAAATGGTGCAGGAGAACAACAGAGCCAATGTTGGCATTCAACAGGTTGTTTTTGGAGACATAAACTGAGGTGTCACTAAGGCAGGACAAAGTGGTAAGGCGAGCAGCCACCTCCTGAGAAGGGGTTGGAACTACACGTGCGCCAATCTGAGTGGGGTTAAAAGTAACCTGGGGGTCTACAGAATCAACTAAGTGTCTATGGATATGTACATCATCAGGACGGGGCAAAGATTATAATATTTAGACCACGTAGCGGAGCCGGAATATAGAATGGGTTAGCAGGAAGCAAACGTGTGTGCGAGCGTGGTGACGGTACCGAGGACCCTCACGAAGAAATATTAACGGTGCAGTTGTTACAATGGAAGGAGCCACAACAGGGAATGAGGTAGTCACCACAACAGGGGATGAGGTAGTCACCACAACAGGGGATGAGGTAGTCACCACAACAGGGGATGAGGTAGTCACCACAACAGGGGGATGAGGTAGTCACCACAACAGAGGATGAGGTAGTCACCACAACAGGGGATGAGGTAGTCACCACAACAAGGGATGAGGTAGTCACCACAGGGAGCTTTGATCTCAACCCAGCCACAGAAAGGTTGAGAGCCAGAGGGGTATTCTGAGACGAAGCCAGGTCCAACTCAGGGGCCTGGTCGCCCACCATACGAGTCATAGAAGGGACATTAAGAGGGTCTCAAATCTGCATAGAACGAACAAAATTTCATCTACGATTAAGTCCCCACACTCACCATAGAGCCCCATTTAGAAGACAGAGAACTCGACAAAATGGGTTCTTTCCAGGAGTGCATAATGGACATACACCTCGCAATCGTTACCTTAAGAACTGTCAATTGGTCAAGATCAGGTTTGTAAGGAAGCTTCATCCATAAAGCAAAAATGGAAAGCGAAGAAACATGAAAAAGAGGAAAATATGTCTAGCAAAACTCGTACTGTCTCTAGTGCTACCCATTCCCCCAATATATGTACCTATGCCATACAACTTACCATTGCAGTTATATCATATTATACACATATTATACTACATTATATCTTGCAATAAACTCAAATTATGCTAAAATGTATCTGTGGATTACTCTTGAATTTACTTTACTATACCTATTTTCTTCTGCCAAATTTCTTATACAATGTACTTTTTGTACCTTCTTGCAATGTGTTTTTGTACTTTCTTACAATGTATTTTTGTACTTTCTTACAATGTATTTTTGTACTTACAATGTACAGTACCTGTAAACATTTTTTTAATTTTGCTAGAAATTACCTTCTTACGATTATATGTTAGATTAAGGATCTGCCCGAAAAGCTATGCGTGCTAGTGGCTTTCTTTGTGTGGGTAGAATATGGTAAGGTAGCTGAAGAGGTTGGGAGAGGAATTAGAAATACAGGGGAACCAAACATTTCAACCCCAAGGTAAGGAGGCATGTGGCCACATGTAGCACTTTCCCCAGCAAAACCTTGAAGCCAAGAAGAAGTGGAATGAGGCCAAGATGGAGGACCTGCCAATTTGGTAGTTTCCCGTAGTCTTTCTGCTGTGGTCTGCATTCATCACAACATACAGCTTATGTGCCATTTGTAGCCTGTACCAGCGAGGGTCTTAACATCTGGGAAATTGGAGATCGAGTCTGCTGTTGTATTATTGTGCATGCGATTGTCAGTGACCATGTTATGAAAACATCTGCTAGGCCCTCAGGGTTCAAGGAACCACCTGCTGCCACTTCACCCTTACTTTCAGCTCCAGCACCTTATCAAATAAGATATTGATGGATTATTCAATATTATCTATCTTTTAATAATTTGTGTATACTTTAGAGTATCCCAGAATGAACTTGTGGATGATACTGTATAATTATATGAAGAGGGGATAATACATTCGTTGAGGTGGAAAGGTGAGGTGACTGGGCCGTGACTTACCTTAGTTGCTGCTGCTATGTGTGTTAATACGTTCTAGAGTCAATGGAAGAAAAATTTCCTGTCATTTTACCATAATCTAGAGTACATATTTTCCCGACACCTTAAAATGAAGCCCTTTCCCTCCTTCCGCACACCAAAAGAACTTGGGGGCAAAGAGGTGGATAAATTTGTCTTTATCTGCCTCTTTGTGCCACACCCAAAGTAGGACACGCAGGAGCTTTACTTCTCTGTACTCTCTACATGTTTTTCTATAATTGTGTAATAAAACAGTTTGTTCAAGTAATTTTCTGTACAGTATTTTCTTTCTTTTAACCAAGCTTCATAGAAATATTTTTATTATACTGTACAGTACTGTAAATATACTTTTTGGTCTGGGTGTACTGAAGGAAATATTCCCCCTTCTCAGGTTTTGATGGCCAAATTGTTGTACAGCACGTAGTACAGTATTTGTTTTCATTTTGTTCCCCAAGCTATCATTTTCTGTAGATTAATAAAAATGAATTACTGTACTGTAGTTTTGTCAAATTTTACACCTGGGAAGATTATGGACGTAATCTCAGAAGTTGAATGATTAAACCTTGTAGAAGAATATTAAAAAAAATGACTAACATAAAACTTTCCAGACAAGCAATTCAAACTAAGATATGTAAACATTTTAGTAAACCTATGCTTTTTCACAGTTGAAATAACACTCAGGGTCATAAACCCCGCAATAAAGGCATTGATTAGCTTTAAAATCTGCTACCACTGGACTATATGGCTCACTTGCAAAAATAATTTATCATTTGCCATTAAACATGTGTTGAAAGTTTTAATATAATGTGCATAGGCATTATCAAGATACTGAGTGCAAAAAAAAAATATACATTTTGGAAACAACAAAGTATCATTACTGGAATACATACATTAAATGTGGTATAATACATTACATAATTAATTTTAAAATTGATTTGCAAAATGAATATTTTTGTGTAAATACCAGTATGTATATGAAAATATTTCTGGGTACTGTATATTGTATATATACTTGGTAAAAGCATGATGAAATACACATGATTAATTTTCAATTAATTTCCTATGCTTCTGTGCATGAATATGAAATAATGGAATTAGATCATAAGATAAAGCATTACAATAATCAATAACGTAAGCTACAAGAGAACATAGCTGCTACAGGCTGCTTCCTGGGGGAGTGTATAACAAAAAGGGAGCCTGATCGAGGACCAGGCCACGGGGATGTTAAGCCCCAAAATCATCTCAAGATAATTGAAAAAAAATCATGGGCACCTCTCCAGGGTGAGGGGCTCATTATTGAGAAGGTGCCCATGGGTAGCTGCAGCAGCTCGCAGCATTACCATACAACTTGTGCCCCACTACATCACTCAATAATGATGAAGCATGTAATTTTGATTATTTTGCAATGAGAGGTGTCACTGAGAATCCTAACTGTGAGAAAGGCTATGTACACAACTTGTCCTCCTACAAAGAACATTGTTTTTCGCTCGCATGCATTACCTAAAGCCAAAAATTGTCATATTAGAAAATGGAAGCGGCTTGCAAAAGTGATGTACTGTCCTGTTTTCTTGATGTTGGGAAACCTTAGAAGGACAGGATGATGTACAAGGTTCAGATATGAGTGAACACAGTGCTGGTTCTCTGTTCGAGGCAGACATTCACAGAACACAGCTGCAGTTCCACGAATCTACACATCATCCAATGGGACCTCATGTTCCTTAAGAAAATTATTTATATTCATGATTTAATGACAATCTGATAATAGCAGCAGTGTTGTAACTAGACTTATCATTGTGCATAGTATATTGGAAGCATTTTGCTGCCTCAGGTGACACTGTCTGCTAGCATCATCTGCTTGTAACATGTGGCTGTATGCCATGCTTGGATTTCATTATCACATCACTAGAATTCTTTAGTGGTTTGTTATGGTGCATAAATATGTAGATAAATATGTGTGTATATAGTTTTATAACAGCAAAATCTGTATGTTTTATTGTTCTAAGTTTATAACATTGTGCACATATTAGTGACAAATGCTTTTGTTTGTATCGATGTTCTGCACAATTTATTATGCTGTAGATATTTCTCAAATTACATACTACTGCATAATATAACTGAAAAAAGTGAAAAAACAAGTCAGTGACACTAAATCTGTATAAATATATTTGTGGCAATTTCCGACACCCAGGCGATCTTCACTGGGCGTTTCATCCATCAGCAAGGGTGAATTAATGACATCATCATTGTTTTCCTTACTACACCACAGCCAAAGTATGAGAAAAATAAAAAAATATATTACTATTTTTGTGCACACCACACAAATGCAGCAACACATCAGTTTGTAAACTTCATCCAGGAGACATTCATGTTCCAACATGTTAAACAGGCCATGAGAATGAGGGAAGAGGGACATTCCATCGCGGCTGGATTTGATATTCACCAGGATAGAAGAGATATTTGACATCCAGTATCTTCTTCCCTTTGGTAAGAGCGGCCATGTCCTTTTGGAAATAAAATATGTAATGCATTATAATCTAGAAGGGAATGAGGAAAAAGCAGTTGAAAAACTTGATTTCAGGAGAAGACACTAAGGGGAAGTTTACAAGTTCTTTAATGAATTTGATTGGAAAGCATGCTGTTAGGCAAGGAAGTAAATGCATGCCAAATTTTGTGAGATACAGTATATGATGAAGGGACAAAAAGATTTATACTAAAACAGAGATGCAGAACTAGAAAACAGGATTAGTTCAACAGTAATTGTCCAAACCTTAAAACATACCAATAATACAAAGAAGCAAGAAACAATTACATAGCAGTGAAAAGGGAAGCAGAAAGAAATTTTGAGAAAGGGATAACAGACAAATGTAAAATAGAACCAGGCCCCCTATTCTATAAACTCATTAAAAAGCAAGCTGTAGGTAAAAGATAAAATTCAGAAATTGAAAAAGGGGAACAGATTCATGGAGAATGAAAAGAAAATGTGTGAAAGACTAAATGAACAATTAGTTCCAGAATGTGTTTGTGCAAAATTAAGTTTTCAGAGAACTAAGTTTTAGTTTTAAGTTTTAAGAGAACTGGGCATAATACGAATTTCAGAAAATAACAGAATACATAGAGGTGTCTAGAGACAAAGTGGAAAAAATGCTCAAGGAACTAGGTAGGAACAAAGCAGTTGGCCCAGACACAGTTTCACCTTGGGTCCCATGAGAATGTACACAGCATCCTACTTCAGTTGATTTTTCAGTCATCTTTGTGAACAGGAGTCTTGGCAGATACTATATATGGAAAAAGGCTAACATTGGTCCAATATATAAAAAATGAAAGCTGGAAAGACCCTCTAAATTATAGACTTGTATCATTGACAAGCACAATAGTTAAAATGTTGGAAAAAATGATTAAAGCTAAATGGGTAGAACACCTGGAGAGAAATGAAATAACAACACAGACAATATCATTTTCAAACCGGAAGATCCTGTGTAACAAAGGTACTTACGATAATTTCTATGATAAAGCCACAGAGATCTTACAGGAAAGAGATACTTGGGTTGACTGCATAAATCTGTACCTGAAAAAGGCTTTTGACAGTCTGCACATAACAGGTTGTTCTTGAAACTAGAATATACTGGAGGAAGTAAATAAATAATTATCAAAAGAAGGCACCAAACCAGGAAGTCTATGTAGCACAATATACTGGAGGAGTGACAGGGAGGCTTCTAACATGGATGAAAAATTTTCTGACAGAGAAATGAGGGCAATAATCAAAGGCAATGTATCAGACAGGAGAAATGTCAGTAGTGGAGTATTACAGGGTTCAGTTCTTGCAACAGTATGTCCATTGTTGGACATAGATTATAAATGATCTACCAAAAGGAATACTGAATTATATGAACATGTGTACTGATGATGCTAAGATACTAGGAAAGATAAGAAACTTAGATGATTGTCTTGACCTTCAAGAAGACCTGGACAAAATGAGTGTATGGATGAACACCTGGCAATAGGAATTTAACATGAGTAAATGCTATGTTATGAAATGTGGAATAGGAGGTAATAGGAAACACACAACCTAGAAATTATGTGAAAATAAACAGCATTGAATGTAATGAAAAGCCCATATTGGGGTGAGTCCTGGTGGCTCACTGATATAGTGCCAAACTACTAGGTGCCATCAGTCGAGGAGTTCTTATGGATCTACCGGGAAACATGAGCCTGCCTGCCCCCTCAGAGAGGCCGCACAGAGCAGTGGCTCTATGAAAAATTTGATGTAAATTTCCTCATGTTTGCCACCACCAAGGAAAGGCACCTAGAAAGTTAACAAAACAAACCAGACCACTGCTTGGTTAAAAACTAGACCGTGAGGTGTTCGTAAAGACACCGAGCGAGAGTGGAGGAAGGCACCAACCCTAAAAAACCTGAAGAGGAAGACAGTGATGCTCCCACCCAACTGCTTGAGCAATTGCAAAAGGTACCCAAGGGCCCAACACCAATTTCCCCTAAGCCCCAGGAACCACAGAAAAGGGCCCACCACTTGAGATAGAAAAGTGAAGTCCAAGGAAGAGGGTGCCAACCTGAAGATACCAGAAACCTCAGTTGAAACAATAGGTTCAACTGCCTTCACACCCCTGTCGAAAGTTGCAACCCCCAGATCTGCCCAAGCGCCATTCCAAGCTAAACCCTGTGATATAGGGTTTGGCCCCTATATCACAGGCCCCGAAACTCTGACGCATCGTGGCCAGAAGGAGGGGTGAAGAAAAGGGGGGTACCACACCCGCCGGGAAGTAAGAAGTGTGCATGAAACCACTGTTGAGGCAACCAACACTCCCAAATTTGATACCCTAATACAGTGTGGGGATATCTGGGGCAACCAACTGGGCACAGAACCTAGATCACAGCAACACAGAAGTAAAGCAGTCGCTGCCAGATACCCATGAACAGCAATAGGAAGGTGGGTAAGAAGAGCAATATGCATGGAACAAGTACCACAAGTACAAGTTGGTGGCACCACACAACTCAGGGTTGAGCGTGCCATCAACCCAACAAGGCAGCAATGCGGAGGCAGAAAGAATGAACATTGTCTAGTGGCACAGACAGCCAACCCTCAATATCGCACAACGTGAGAGCAGGTCCAGAAAAGGTATCCATAGTACCACCGAACCCACAGGGAATTTCCAGGGTCTGCAGGGAGTGTGTTCCCTGCAGGTATGCTCAGGCACAAGAAAATGCTAAGCCAGAAACCCCTATACAGCAGTATAGGCACCTTTGAAACCTGACACCAGCAGAAAGGGCAAAAGAGAGATCAAATGAATGATTTGCACTCAGATGCTAGGTAAAAACTTAAGGAGGCACAATCAGTATAAAATCCCTAAGTGGAATGCGGCACAAATGAAACAAAAAGCCTCGAAAGGACCAAAAATTAAAACAAGGACTGCAAACTCTCAAGGCCCCAGACTAAGAAGAATGAGTAAACAAGGGAGAATCATACACCCAACCAGGCATACAAGCTGGAGGGACCACCTCAGGGTGCCAGCTAGTTTGAGCAAACAACAGTGCACCCCACCAGCGAAAATTCCCTCCTGACCTGCGGAAAGACAAACAGTCCCAAACAACCAGCTTACCTGAAGGGTGACGGCCAATACAAGTGAGGAGACCCACTAATGTAGGGAACACTCCAGGGAAGATAACCCCTGACTGCACAAGGGCACTACTTAAGAAGTGCACAGGGAAGTAAACCCCGAGGACATGTAGCTCCAAGCATGCTAAACTCCTGGCTCATGCTGCTCAAAGTTGCACAAGAACAGACTCAAAAGGCAAACATCACTTAGCTGAAGACAGGAGACTCAAGCCAGAGCAATCTGAGAGGGCAACCAGGCACTGTCACTGTCTTAATTTATAATTAATAAGTATAAAAACTGGTGGTTGAGCAACCGGCTGACCCGATCTGCCTCCCTCCTCTCCCGGAAGGAAGGGGAGGGGAAGGAAGGAAGGGGAGGGGAAGGGAGAGGGGGAAGGAAGGGAGAGGGAGGGAGGAAGGGAGAGTGAGGGGGGGAGGGAGGGAGGAAGGGGGAGGTAGGGAGGAAGGGGGAGGGGGGAGGGTGAAAAAGAGAAAGAAAGTGAGTGAGAGTGAGTGAGTGAGTGTCTGTGTGTGTGAGTGAGTGAGTGAGTGAGTGCGTGCGTGCGTGCGTGCGTGTGTGTGTGTGTGTGTGTGTGTGTGTGTGTGTGTGTGTGTGTGTGTGTGTGTGTCTCTCTCTCTCTCTCTCTCTCTAGTGATGGTGCTTAGTTTCACAGATTTTCGATCGATTGTTTACACTGTTGGTGTTAGGAGTAAGGTATGTTGTAGGATTAAGTACCAGTTAGATGCATAATGTTTCAAGCAGATGCTCTAGTTCTTTTGGCTGTTTTGAAAATGCAGTCCGATTTTTAAAACGGCAGAGGGTCTGTTTAGTTTTGCCGACTTTCTGGGTGCCTTCCCATGGTGCTGGCAGACATGAATAAATTTACATAAAATTGTTCATAGTGGCACTGCTCCATGTGCCTCTCTTAGAGAGCCAGGTTCTGGCACGTGGTCCCCAGTAGACCAGTAAGAACCCCACGACTAATGGCACTCAGTATGGTAGCTTCAGGGAGTCACAAGGGGTCCCCCCCCCCCAGAAAGCTTTAAAACATTCTGATAAAGAAGGTGATCTTGGGGTGGTTTTAGACAGAAAACTCTCATCTGAGGAATGTATCAAGAACATTGTGTAAGGAGCCTATGCTCTGCTTTCCAATTTCAAAATTGCTTTTAAATACTGTATTTAACATGGATGGCAAAATATTAAAGAAATTGTTCACGACCTTAATGAGACCAAAGTAGGAATATGCAGCTGTAGTATGGTGCCCGTATCCCAATAAGTACATCAACAAACTGGAAAAGGTGCAAAGACATGCAACAAAATGGCTTCCAGAACTGAAAGACACGAGCTATGAGGAGAGGTTAGAGGCATAAAATATGTCAAAGCTAGAATATAGTAGAAAGAGACAATATAATCACTACCTACAATACAGCAATGGGAATCGACAAAACTGATGAAGAATTTTTGAAACCTGGAATTTCAAGAACAAGAGGTTATATATTTAAGCTAACTAAACAAAGTTGCAGAAAGAACATTTGAAAGTTCACTTTTACGAACAGAGTGGTAGAGAGTTAGACCAAGTAAGAAGTGGAGGAGGCCAAAACCATCAGTAGTTTCCAAACTTTATATGATACAGAGTGCTGGGAAGACTACATGCATGGGCATGAGTCTAGCTCTCCTCCTGTAATTACACATAGGTAATTACACTGATATATCTAAGATTGTTAACAACAAAAAGAGGTGTGCAGTAGCAGGGGTTAATAAACCATGTATAAAAGATATATTTAAGTAGGAATTTTACAGCATCACGACCATCCAAGTAGAACTTGGGTGCTAAAAACGCAAGCATCACTTGCCAATTTTCCATTTACACAGGAACAATACTGCAATTTTTTTTTTCCCAGTTCATGAACAATATCTGGAAAACAAAAATTCATTTGTTCATAAACAATAACTGGAAACAATTTTCCATTTGTTTATAAATACTGTAACCAGAAACCATTTTCCATTTGTCCATGAACAATAATTGTCAACAATTTTCTACTTCACAATGTTCCAAAAATATTTTTTTTTAGAAAAAGTTATCTACAGTAAATTAAAACTATTAAACAGTTTTCATCTTATTTTACTTTTGTTATAAAATAATATGACAAACAGTAGTATCAAAAGAACATTAACGGTTCTTTGAGGGCTTTTGTCTTCATATAATAGTCAGCATAGTAAACATTAACATACAAAAAATAACCTAGTTTTCATACCTTGGAAATACAGTACAATAATACAAAAAATAAATGGTACAGGATCAAAAAATAATTAAGTATAGCTATATGAAGTTAATACATAATTTAAAAAATTGTCTACCCTCTACATTTATGATTATAATCAATAATGAGTTACCTGAACAACCCGTTCCATGGCTTCAATTGGCATATGTTCAATGTGCTCAACATGAGCAATATAAGGAGTCTGGTCCACATCTGTTACATGATCCAAGCCATTAGTTGCTATTTCATCAAAATGATCAGGAGACATTTTTAAATCAGGAAGAATTTGAACCTGTTGTTCTAAGGAATTCAATTGAGTATCCACACTGTGTTGTTGCTGCTGCAGATGTAGAGGCTCTGAACTAGTAGTTGCCTCATCTAAAATGTCACCATTTGTAATTTTGTCACCTTCAATAAAATCGTCTAATGATGCATTTTGCTCCTCTAAATATGCTCCATCACGTGTAATATGACCCTGTTCATCAACTTTTGTATGACGAGTAATACGAGATGGTCTAATTTTGGGTCGTCCACGCTTTGCCCTGGAGCGTCCTCTGCCTCGCCCACCACGGTTTACTGTTCTCTTGGTTACTGATGATATCATAGAATCAGTGGAAAGTAACTTACGTGGACGTCCACGTTTCTTGCCAGTGGGAGGAGCACCACATTTCTTTAAGTGTTTTTGTAAATATTGATTTGTTTTGAAAACCTTACCACATCGACAACAAGCAAAAGGCCTCTCATCAGTATGAAGTTTACGATGACTTCGTAAGTCTCCTTTTGAGCGAAAGGCAGCAGCACAGAGAGCACACTTATAAGGCCTTTCTCCAGTATGAATGCGCAAATGAATTTGTAAAGAAGCATTTTGTGCAAAAGCAGCCTTGCATATCTGGCAAGCAAATGGCCTTTCCCCTGTATGTTTTCGCATATGATTTCTCAAGTGTGTACTAGTGACAAATGAATCTTCACATACGCCACATATATATGGCCTTTCACCAGTATGAGTTCTCTTGTGGCCTGTCAAATGTGAAGAACGGGAAAAGGTTTGGCCGCACTCGGAACATTTATACGGACGTTCACCAGTATGAATGCGCTTGTGTGCTTTTAAATTTGAACTCTGAACAAAAGATGCACCACACTCTTGACAAATAAAAGGGCGTTCTCCTGAATGTATCCTGGCATGAGACTTCAAGTTGGAAGAGTTTGAAAATGTAGCACCACACGCATCACAAAAGTAAGTACGGTCTGTTGGTGTTGTACGTGGTTTCGGTCGGGGAGCAGGTGGTTTGGGCCTGGGTGGTGCTGTTAAAATTTCTTGAGTATGGTGGTGATGGTGCTGAGGAATAGCTATTTGTGGAGCTTGCATAGGTGGAGAGACCAGCAAGTTATTGAATGTGTTGTAATCATACCATCCTGTATGACCTGATTGGCCTACTTGCACTAAATGGTCCATGTATACAGTGTTCATGTTGACCGAGTTGGGTGGGAGGGCCATTCTGCTATCTTTTAACCCCAGCCTCACAATGCAGTCACAAAGTGGTCACTTGCCTGAAAATATGAACTAAATTAGAAATACATTCTAAATATATTATCCTGCAGCAGAATCAGCCAAGAAAACACTTTAAATAACTCTTGGTTACTATTGGTCCCGAATTTATCTTATCTCTGCATGGTTTAATAACATGAGTGTGATCAAGAAAGGTATGCCATAGCTGGTGCATCTCACAATAGAAGCAGGGAGTTAATGACAGGGGGGCAATAGGATATGTACAAATGACAGTTATATAATGAATACAGGGTCATGAGTACAAGGGGGGATAATAAGTACAGGGGTATAATGAGTACAGGAATATAAAGAATACAGATGTACAATGAGCACTATAATGGGGATTCGGGAATAATAAGTAATGTACAACTTATGGGTACCGATACAGCCATGTACAGGAATATCGGAAGGGAAAAGAGAGAAAGGATGGGAAGGGAGAGAGAGAGGGGATGGGAAGGAAAAGAGAAAGGAGGATTTGACATACACAAGCACACAATTTTATACACAATTTTAAAATGATTTTTAAAATGAGTGGGTGAATTCTGGAGTTACACAGATTGAGCACAGGTTAACAGGGATAATAATGTTACCTAGTCTAACTTACTAGGCTTATCTATGCAATCTTACTATAAATACTGTAAAGCAAAAGATGGAAGTACTGTACAGTGGAATCTCGGTTCTCGAACTTAATTGGTTCCAGAAGGCCATTAGAATGCCAATCTGTTCAAATACCGAGTAATTTTTTCCCATAAGAAATAATGTAAATTGGATTAATCTGTTCCAGACCACAAAACATATACACTATAAACACAATAAATAGATGAAACAAATGCAAATGTATTCTCACTTTATCTACATTTAGGAGAGTATATGGCATATGTGGAAGGTGGTGAGGAAGAGGAGCGATATTATTGTTTGGCAGGAACCCCTTTTCATGAAAACGTCAGATAATTGTGCTTCTGGGGTTTTTGTCTCTTTTTGTCTTTTTCTATTTCTATCTTGAGACTCACTGGATGCTTCTCTTACAACAATACAACCATACCAAATGCAAAACCAGACATGCAGAAACAACTTTCATATTTTGCCATTTCTTTTTTATCTCTATCGTTGTTTTAACTAATATTCTTTTCGATTGACTCATATCACTAACCTTCTAAGGCATCATGGTGACTTGCTCGAGTTCTGAGCTGTTCAAGATCCGAAGTACCAGAGGTACAACCTCGGTACTCAAACTTAATTGGTTCCAGAAGACCGTTAGATCTGTTAGATCGAAGATCTGTCCGAGTGACCAATAATTTTTTCCCATGAGGAATAATGTAAATAAGATTAATCCATTTTAGACCAAAAAAAACTAACAAATACACAATAAATAGACAAATTAAATGCAAATTTATTCCTCACTTTATCTGTGCTTTGGAGTGTTGATGGAGTATGTGGAATGTGGTAAGGAAGGGGAGAGATGTTTGGCAGAGGCAGCCCCCTTCCATAAAAACATCAGATAATTGTATTTCTGCATTTTTTGTCTTTTTTATCTGTTTCTATTTTTATCTTGAGACTCGCTGAATGCTTCCCTTACATGAACACAAGCATACCAAATTCAGTAGCAAGAACAGACATTTGGGCATCACTTTCATATTTACCCATGAGTTCTTTTTTCATCTTTCTTGTTGCTAACTAATTTTCTTTTCATTTGTCTAACTAGCAGGGTGCTGGTTTGATGAAGTTTTGGTTGTTGGAGGAGTTCTTTTGACATTTTGAGGGCTGTAGTTTCATTTTTAAACCATGCAGTGGTTTGTTTTGACATGCCTACCTTTCTGGGTGCTTTCTCTGCATGATGGCGAAGATGATAAACTTTAGATGTAAAGTGTTACAGTCCCCATGGTGTAGTGGTTAAGACGCTCACCTGGTGTTTCGTGAGCGCTTTGTCCTGGGTTCGTATCCTGGCCGGGGAGGATTTACTGGGCATCTATCCTTAACTGTAGCCTCTGTTTAATTCAACAGTAAAATAGGTACCTGGTTGTTAAATGATTTTTCACGGGGTCGTATTCCAGGGAACGTAGGATTAAGGACTTGCCCGAAATGCTACGCATGCTAGTGGCTGTACAAGAATGTAAGAACTCTTGTATATACTGAATATATATATATACAGTATATATAAAAAAAAAGTGTTCATGGGCCATGGCTCCCTGCGCCTCTGTGAGGGGGGGCCAGGTTCTGGCTCGTGGTCCCCGGTAGGCAAACAAGAACTCAGCATCTGATGACATTCAAGTAGTATGGCATTTGATCAGTGTGATAGCTTCAGGGAGCTGGCAGGGCTCCCCAAAGAAACCATACTATTATTATACAATTTTTTCTGCATGTGTTCTACCCATTTGGTTTTAATTATTTTTTTTCCAATGTTTTGACTACTGTACTATGCTTGTTAATGATTTAGGTCTATAATTTTGATGGTCTTCCCTGCTACCATTTTTGTAGATTGGAACTATGTTAGCCTCTTTACATATATCTGCCAAAATTTTTTGGGAACACATTTCACCCCACTTAGTCCTCAATAATAATAATAATAATAAATTATTGTGTCAGGGGGACAGGCAGCCAGTTTATATATAAAGTACATGTTAGGCTTATGCTGAGCTCTCCCCCCTTCCCCCAGGGTCGAATTGCTGATCCTCCCCAGGATGCAACCCCACAACAAACTAACTCCTGAGTACCTATTCATTGAACATAAGAACAAAGGTAACTGCAGAAGGCCTATTGGCCCATACGAGGCAGCTCCTATCTATAACCACCCAATCCCACTCATATACATGTCCAACCCGCGCTTGAAACAATCGAGGGACCCCACCTCCACCACGTTACGCGGTAATTGGTTCCACAAATCAACAACCCTATTACCGAACCAGTATTTACCCAAGTCTTTCCTAAATCTAAATAAATCCAATTTATATCCATTGTTTCGTGTTCTGCCTTGTGTTGATACTTTTAATACCCTATTAATATCCCCTTTGTTGTGTCCATTCATCCACTTGTAAACCTCTATCATGTCACCCCTAACGCTTCGCCTTTCCAGTGAATGCAATTTAAGCTTTGTTAATCTTTCTTCATTTGAAAGATTTCTAATTTGGGGAATTAACTTAGTCATCCTACGCAGGACACGTTCAAGTGAATTTATATACATTCTATAGTACGGCGACCAAAACTGAACTGCATAATCTAAATGGGGCCTAACCAGAGCAAGATATAGCTGAAGAACCACACCAGGTGTCTTGTTACTAATGCTTTGATTAATAAATCCCAGTGTCCTATTTGCCTTATTACGAACATTCATGCATTGATCCTTTTGTTTTAAATTCTTACCAATCATAGCTCCCAGATCCTTTTCACAATCAGACTTCGCAATCTCAACACCATCTAGCTCGTATCTTGTAACTCTATCATCATTACCTAGCCTCAGAACTTTACATTTATCAGCATTAAACTGCATCTGCCAATCTTTTGACCATTTCAAAACCCTATTTAGATCAACTTGAAGTGATAGCGAGTCTTCTTCCGTGTTAATTTCCCTACCGATTTTTTTATCATCTGCAAATTTGCAGATGTTGCTACTCAAACCTGACTCTAAATCATTTATATATATTATAAACAACAAAGGTCCCAGGACTGTGGGTGGGTGGACAGGGGGCATGAGCTAATAGGAAATGTGGCTAAGCTATTTTTGTCCCGCCTGGGATTCGAACCCAGAATTCTGGATTGTGAGACGAGAATGAACTCGACTGTACTGCCGGGGCCCTAATAATAATAATTAGTAATGGTAATGTCTTCTCAGACATAATAACATAAATTTCACAAATACACAAGTGTGGGTTTTTATCTTATGTAAGGAATTTACACCAAGTCTTTCGCACTCTTCTGAGTGCTTTGTCAAGGTCTGAGTGTGTGATTAAGACGAGACTTACATTTCAACGTCTAAATACTAAATAAAAAGTCTAAACAATTATTGGAAGTCTCGTCCTTATCACACACTCAGACCTTGACAAAGTTCTCAGGAGGGTGTGAAACTTGGTGTAAATTCCTTACATAAATTTCACAAATACACAAGTTTGGGTTTTTATCCAATAATAACAATAATTTTTAAAATTCACAATAATTCATTGTGTCGGGGGACAGACAGCCAGAGTGTATTTACCTGAGGGCCAGACAGAGATTGTCACAGCCCCATTTCACCCAAGGCCAACTTCCTTCATGACCTCAGAAGAGTAATAATTATAATTATATTATTATTATTATAATAATAATTGTTGTAATTAATAACTATTATTCTTCCTTCTGCTGGGTCGTGAAGGAAGCTGGCCTCCGGTAAAAGGGGGCTGTGACGATCTCTGTCTGGAACCCATAGGTGCAGGGCAAAGACATCCACCTCCTGGGGCTCGTGCGGCCCAAGCTCTGCTTCAGGAGGCTGAGGTCGTTCTTGCCCTTGCTGGGGTGGTTCTTTTCCGGCCCCAACCATGGCGGTCTCCGGGTTTGGAGTCCCTGTGCCTTCTTTATGAACTTCGAGGTAAACTCCAGAGCTGGAGCCCCTTGGGCAGTTCGTTGTTGCCTTCAACCTTGTTCTGACAGTTCCTGTGACGGCGCTGGAACCAATCGTATTGACGTTTGCCTTTCCATTGGAGACTTTCAGTGCCGTGGAGAGGGGGGGGGGGGGAACCTGCTGCATGGGTGACAGTTTCTCCCCCGTATCAACCTACCGCGGCTTTGCACCTTGGAAGGCCACTCCAGACTGACAACCAGAGCGCAACTCCAGTCTCCTGAGACTGGTGGATGCCTACTACTACCACTAGTGGCCTTGACAAGGACAGAAGTCACTGGCAGTGGTCCCCCCCCCCCCATTTGCCTCGATAATCTTTTCCAGTTTGATTATGAAATAAAAGTCTTGGCATTTATGGCTTCGGCAATATTTATACTAGTTAGGTTCATATTGAGGTTCTCCCCAATGTCGAATTACTGACCCACCCCAGTGGATGCAACCCCACAACAAGCTGACTAACTCCTGGGTACCTACTTACTGCTAGGTTTTTAAATTTCAATTAAATTTTAATAACAAACAGATTAGCTGGAAACAAATAAACCAAGCCCTTACAGAAATATGCTGGGAAAAGATGGCTAGATAATGCAAACTTAAACTAGTACCTTGAGAGAATAGGCACAGTAGCACTAGAAATGTTATATAAATGTTATACTGTATAAAGAAAGAGAAATTGAAGTAAACTGGAATGAGAAAGGCATTCCTTTTATAGGTCATGAAAATAAATTGTAAAAATCTTAAATGCTCAACTATTGTTCAACTTCTTCAACTTGTTCAACTATTGTTCAACTCAACTTCTCTATTGTTCCCAAGAACAATAGAGAAGGCTATGAAAGAGAAACAATTGAGCTAAGGTTGCAAGACTCAAATAAAATCCACGAGAGACAAGAGAGCAAAAGGCCACATGCAAAATAGAGGGAATCCAAAATACTTTTTTGTGGAGAGCCCCTTCGGCTCCACAGAGCTATATCGGGTTGATGTGTATATATTAGACCGTGGCAACAGTCAATCGAAGGAGTTCTAGGCCTACCGGGGACCAGAGCCAGAACCTGGCCCCCTCAAGAGAGGCACGAGGACCAATGGCCTAAAGACACCCCCGTGTAATTGGAAGCAGTCTTTGTCTGCCATCTACCAGGTGAGGCACCCAGAAAGGTAGGAATTCCAAAACAAACTACAGCACTGCTGATCAAAGATTTGCAAACCGAAAACCGAACTAGCAACAGAACTCCCCAATCAAAACCAAGGAAATAAATATGACGTCACCACAAACACCGCACATCCGTCTGCACAACCCCCTGCCCTCCCCAGGAGGGGGACGAGGGTGTCACAGACCTCCACGCCAGCAACTCTCCCCACTTCACAGGCTATTGTGAGGGCGAACAGTTGATCGACTCTGGCTCCATCCTTTGAGCAGTGCTGCAGCGCAGTATTGTTCTTCAGTTTTGGTATTGCGCGAGTCAGGTGTAACACGAGGAGTAATAGGAGTAAAATGGCGTTTCATTACATTCAACGCTTGTTTTTCTCCTATGCAAAATCTAAAACAAAAACCATATCCTACATTGGGCCCTTGCACAAAAGTGGTGGAACCTTCACAGATGACAGCTAAGAAATGAGTGAAATATTGAGGTTACAGTACGATTCCGTTTTCAGCAAACCCCAGAATACATTGCAGATCAATGATTGAAACGAATTCTTTATGAATGTGACACCACCATCAAGCCATATATCAGAAGTTACCCTAACCCCAGCTGACTTTGAAGTAGACATAGACAGCATGCCCATGCACTCTGACCCAGGCATAGACAGTATGCCCACGCACTCTGCACCAGGCCTAGACAACTGGACTTTTACAATCATCAAGAACTGCCAAAAAGCACTATCACAAGCCCTAAACATTGAACGATGAAGACCGGAGGGAGGGAGAAAGGGTATCAGGGAGCCTCCAGGGCTTGCCCAGAAAATGGCGTTTCATTACATTCAAAGCTGGTTTTCTGTGGGGAGCTCTGTCAGTTTCCTGAAGCTAACTATCCACAGACAAGTAAACAATCTGGGAGGCGGCAGCACCCTCTGCAGAGCAGCTATGTCCTTCTGAAGACGAGGTCTCTATGCTTGGATACAGTAATCCAACTAAATCACTACATTCTATTCCTTAAAGTCAGAGGTACATTTGATTATTCCAAGTGTTTGGTTAGCTTTATTGACTGTTGCCCCTACCTGCTGTGCAACTTTCATTGACCTTTGTCTGAGTAGATGGTTGCAGTTTCCAAAAATGTGAGCAGGTTTGAAAAACAGGATCTATTTTTAACAACCCCATGTTGTGTCAATTTTACAAGATTGTTCACTGAAAGATGGTGAATGATTCCCTTTATTAGGATTCTCTCCATAAGCTTCCAGATGTGTGATGTCAAGCTGATTGGACTGCAGTTCTCCACTGAGCTCTTTCTGCCTTTTTTGAAAATAGAGGTGACATTTGTATATTTTCAATCTATAGGGACTATCCCTAGGTCCACAGACTTTGTGAAAAGTAATTTCAGCGGTAGGCATAGTTCTTCTGCCAGTTCCTTCATGACTTTGGATTGTAGTCCATCCACACCTGGGGCTTTCAAGTCTTGTAGTTTGTCAATGTTCTTCTTTATTATGTCGCTTGTTATGGCTATATTCCTAAATTCATTTTTTTTTTTTTGAGAAAAAAAAAAAAGAGTTGTTACATTCTTGTACAGCCACTAGTACGCGTAGCGTTTCGGGCAGGTCCCTGGAATACGATCCCCTGCCGCGAAGAATCGTTTTTTCATCCAAGTACACATTTTACTGTTGCGTTAAACAGAGGCTACAGTTAAGGAATTGCACCTAGTAAATCCTCCCCGGCCAGGATACGAACCCATGACATAGCGCTCGCGGAATGCCAGGCGAGTGTCTTACCACTACACCACAGAGACTGTAAATTCATTCTTTTCAACTTTCTAGTGTGAACCCTGTGTAAAATATTCCTTTAGAGTGTTTGCTGCCCTTTTGTTGTCCATTATAGTTTTGTTAGTCTCATCTTTTACAGGTCCTTCCAAGTCCTTAGTTTTGGTTTAACTTCTTATATAGGCATAGAATGACTTTGGATCTTTCTTTATGTTTAGAGCGAGTTTTCTTTTGTAGTTCCTTTTGGCTGATGTGATTTCCTAGATGGCTGAGTTTAATACCCTCTTATATATCTCATAATCAATGATGTCCATCATGGATTTATACGTTCTCCAGAGGTTTCGCTTAGTCATCAATGCCTGTTTTACTGCCTGAGTCACCCATCTAGTTCCCTTTCGTTTTGTCCTCCTTTTTGGCACATATTTTTGAACGAGTTCAGTGATGACCTTCTTAAAGTTTTGCCATGATGCTTCCATGTCATTTTCACCTATTAGCTCCCTCCAGGAGATGTTTTGCAGTTCCTCTCTCATTCCTTGATAGTCATGTCATTTGGAGGATGTTGATCCAGACAATTTCTTCAAAAGGTCAGATGTAACACAACCCAGGAACAATGGCTTCAAGTTCAACAAGCCACAATGTAGGACTCAAAACAGGAGATGCTTTTTCACCCACAGGGTTATAAACCCACGGAACCGTCTACCCACCGAAGCCGTAAATGTCAAACTGATAAATTATAAAAGTAATCTGGAAAAAATTAACAAAACAAATGGGGGGGGGATCTTTGACAAGCTGCCAGCTTCCTGTCCTCATCTAGGCCCCTAAAATGCTAGTGCCCCTAAGGTAAATTCAGGTGAATCCAGGAAAGTAAAAAGTGTAAGTAGCATATATCCACATTTCTTAGATGCGGACAGTTCATTATGTAGATGATATTCCCTGAGAAAGCTGGGCCCGGGTCCACTGGCCATGATACACACAAAAATAACACTGAATGTGGGCACATCCAATCCCTCGATCGTCGTCGCCCCTCAACCAACAACAACACTGAATCATGTACAATTAACATTATTTACCTTAGTGAATGCTATCATTTTAGTGCTTGAAGGTGAATATATGATTAAATAACTGTTTCACTTGATATTCATCTGGGTGAATATGCAGATGATCAAGTCTTTGGTCACAGTGTAAGTAACTTGTGTTAAGTGTTGACCCAAAGATATACAAGATATTATTTGATACAGTACTGTATTCAGGTATTTCACATAGATGTCATTTCCCTTGATATTTATATTTTAAATGTATGAAATAACTCTCAAGTCAGAACCTAAACTTAAATAAGAATAATAAATAAATACATGTTTATTCAGGTAAACGTACATACATACGAGTTACAAGCAAAATATTGGATTTCTAGACAGAGCTAGTACATTCAGTACTATGCCTAAAGCCACTATTATGTACAGCATTTTGGGCAAGTGCTAGTGAAATACTGTATTAGTGAGGAGTGTAAGCCCGCCCCCATGTTACACGTGTTACATGACATAACGTAGTGAGTGATACGACACAAAACTTCAGTTAGAGGAGCAGTGAGTGTCAGAGCAGAGCAGGAGCAAGCCTCCACCACAACTTTTTTTTTTTTTTAGATACAGTATATACAAGAGTTGTTACATTCCAACTAGGAATAGGAATTCCAAACTAGGAATCCAACCCTACATTACTAGGGTCTACCCTAGACCAAGACGCTGCCTCAACCCTCAACTCCAGCACTCAACCAAGCAAGCACACACAACACTAACATCCACACTATATATATACATTTATTACAAACATCATTTCTGACATTGGCCATGAAGTGACACGTGAGTGAAGGCCTTAGGCCAGACCAAATGTTGAGTACATTGTGGTGCGGCTGAGCGCAGGCCTCCCCTCCCCCTCTCCCTCTCATCTCCCACCAGTCTAAGCATCCTCCTCCAGCCAGGGTAGGTGGAGGCGCCTCACCTTCACAGCCCTGGAGGCACTGTCACCGCGTCCGTCATGTGAGGGCCGTCACCACCAGACAGCTACACTTGGAAATAATTGGTGCTCACGGGAGGGTATCTTTGTTTGGGAAGACACGGCCAGCCACCCGCCCGCTGCCACCGCCCGCCACACCCGCAACTATCTCATATTATCACGCCCACTACACGCAACCTTAACTGCTCAACCAAAGTCCTCATAACACAATTAACTTTAGTATAAAGTATGCAACTACACATATACATATACATTCGTTATGCACGATGCTGCATGCATGATATGGTAACTGTAATGTCCTTTTTTTTGGCTTGTTGAAAAATGTTTCCTTTGATATGAAGGCATCCACCTAAATAACTGTAAAACTACATAATGTATATTTGTTATTTAATGGCAGATTACAGTATTCCATATTTGTTAATGAAATCTTATGAATGACAACACCGCTGCCTCCAGTGTTGCCACATCGTAGGCCCTTACTTTGATGCAGGGAGAGATATATTATGCAGGATATTTATAATTAAGAGCTAAGAACATAGACTCATTTTGAATAAAAAAATAAAAAATGTAGTGTAGATTTTTGGTTAACGAAATATTCATCAGAAAATAAAAAAATCTAACTAACTAATTTAGGCATGTCCTTACTATATATTTACCTGAGGGTCACTATTTCTTTTTATTTTTTATTTGTATTAACAAGCTTAGGTATACACAGAAATATGCTGCTACCGTATTCTATATAAAAGATTACACAGTGTAGATAAAACAAAAAAATTAGCTATAAGTTCATCTAATATTCCCATCTCACAGGATGGTTATAGTTATACATGGAATCAGGGGAAATACCTCTCTCAATATCATTATACTATTATAACGTACCTTATCCCCTAAATGTCAACCCATGTCATCCTATTTTCAATCAACACTGTTAGTTGACCAACTAATATAACTATTGAGATAACAAAGGGATAGAGTAGCTTAGGCTATTTCTACCCCCTCTACTTCAAGTCCCTCAAGGGGCGCACAAATTCAGTGAGTACAAATAGACAAATAACATTACAAGAATCCCATTTAACATTGCAGGTTAATATAATAAGCACAGCATATAATTGTTACACTCTTGGGGCAAAATTCTTGTAGCTCCTACGTATACTGTCTACCATACCAATATCACACATCCAAACAATTTGATGTTGTACACTACTTATTTCCTTATTTTTATAGTTATCAATAAATTGACACTCTAATACATAATGTGTTAAGGTGTGGGCGTGCGGCATACTACATAATTTACACTCCTTATCTTTTTCACTGACATCAACACCGTATTGCCAGATATATTTCTATCCTAATCTTAATCTCATGTAAATTGAATCCTTCCAAGTAGACTTTCCTTTACCATAGGTGAAGGACGAATTTGTATTTATTATTGAATAATTCTTAAGTGTTTTACTACTGTCCACTATTGCCATTCTCTTTATCATTTCTTCATCCTCTTGGATCATCTTGATTCTTATTTTTATTTGTTTCAAGGTTAACTGACATACAACATCAACAAGAGTTTTTTCCGTGGCTCTCTTCGCTATCTCATCAATTACCTCATTCAACAGTATTCCCACATGTGAAGGGATCCACATGAATCTTACTTTATACCCAGTTTTTTCTAATTTCTTAACATTCTCTCTACACTCTGTCACAATATTCTGGTATACTGGGCGTCTGATATTTAAAGACTCTAACGCTCCTCTGCTGTCAATAAAGAAGCAAGCATTTTAACCACATTTGACTACTTCCTGTAATCCTGCTAATACACCTTAGAGTTCATCCTGCGTTGAAGAGACATTGTCAGTTAAGCGGCGTCCAATAGCAGTATCTACAGTGCCGATGTCAGTGTACTCCCTGATCAAGACTCCACATCCTGCCTTCCCATCCCTAGCTACTGACCCATCACAATATACATGTAGAGTGTTTTCTGTAGGCAGTTTTCTAATTATACAACCATATGTTGCCCTCAGTTCTCCTATTTCATACATACTTTTTTTCTTTTGCAAGGGAGTAATTACTACATCTACAGTGACCGGACCACGGTCGTGTGCGGTCGCAGTGTTGGCGCTATTGGCGTCCGCTGCTTGGTGGGAGGTGGAGTATTGCCTCACACTCTTCGTCTTTGCACGTGGTGATACAGGATATTGTGAATTTGTTCTCGATTGTTGACAGTGCCTATGAGTGTCGAGAAAATGGCTGAAGCGGTATGCCTAAGTGGTAGTGAGGAGGACAGACAAAATGATAACAGACCGTTTGAAGTAGCAATGAACAAAAAGAAACGGAGAAATAATAACAGACAGCGAGACAGTGAGAGTGACGATGAAATTACAGAGACCAAAGAATGAGACCCTACTCAGCAGGACTCAAGACAAGCAATTTAATAGAAGGAAGAGGCTGTTATTCCCTACAACATGCCAATTGAATTTCCACCAAAAGCCGGTACGTCTGGCTAAAGAATGTTTGGAATACGAACCACTCTTCAAGGAGGGTCTTCACCGGCCCTACATAACAGTTGCGACTGAACAGGCCGTGGAACGCCTCACGACGATTGATTGATTGATGAAGATTAAGCCACCCAAGAGGTGGCACGGGCATGAATAGCCCGTAAGTGGTACAATTTTTTTTTCTCAGTATTCTGAGTTTGCATTTAACCATCAAGCTGTTATCGCGGGGGAGGATACTGCTTCACAGTCTTTATGAGGGTGTCCAGCTGCTGAACACCTTTGTTGACCAGGAGAGTGGCTGTGTTGATGGCTTCAGGGTGGCCACTGCATGATTCAGGAACTCTTAAAGCTCTTCTAAGGTCACTGGTTGCTTCACATTGCAGAAGATAGTGAAGTAATGGCTTTTCTGTGACAGTTTGGCAGAAGATGCACTCTAGTCTCTGTCGGGGTTCACCAATCTCCCAGTTGCATCTGTAACCTAGACGTAGTCTATATAACCTAACTGCTATTTCCCTGTGGATTCCTTTTGGGATATTTAACCTTTCTAATTTGGTTGCCTGAAGATACCATGTTGCAGATGGCGAACCTTCAGCTATTCTCTGGTGCAGGTAGGCTTTGTTGAGATGTGAGAGTTTTTTGGTGATGATGTTTTTTATGTTCTCTAGGCTGGGTTGAATTGTTTTATGTATCACTCGATGACAAGTTGCCAATTTAGCAATTTCATCAGCTTTTTCATTTAATGGGATTCCAATATGGGATGGGATCCAGTTTAAAGTTATGTTGAGTCCTTTGCCTTTAGCGACTGCTCCAAGATACAAAATGGTGGTAATTATTTCCACATTATCTTTCCACTGTTTTTGTCCTAGTATTTAAAGTGCAGCTTTTGAGTCTGTGTGTATGATTGCATTTTGAGTGTTTTGTGCAATCACATATGCGAATGGCTGTTGTATGGCAAACAGCTCAGTTTGGGTTGATGATACTAGTCCTCCCAGTCTCCAATGTGCCTGTACGCTGGCCGTGCAAAGAGCAGCGCCAGCACTCTCATATTCTGTGTCCACCGATCCGTCTGTGAAGATGTGGGTGGCTCCTGCTACTGCTATGCTATACATTTGCTCTTCTATTATACGCCTTAGGATTGTCGGATCATAGGCAGCCTTTTTCATTGGGAGACTTTCTATTACTATTTTGAAAGTAGGCTCTTCCCACGGGGCGGAAGGAGTGTAATTTGGGTGTGGATGATCACCCTCTCTATCAAGAATCATGTTTTTTAAATGTAGTCTGTTTAGGACTTTTCCTGCTCTTGCAACCCAAGAGTTTCCATTGTTTTGGCCTAGTCCAACCACCAAAGCCTGCCGTACTGGGATTGGATCAGAAGAAATAATTATCTTACTGACAATTGTAGCTGTCCTTTGTGATATTCTTTCTTGTAGAGAGGGCAAACTCGTCTCCAGTCTAAGAGTTTCAAGCCTGGTCCACATGGGGGCTCCCAGTGCCGCTCTCATAGCATTGTTTTGGGCAACTTCAAACTTTTTCCACTGTTGGTGTGATAGATTTGTGAGTGCAGGTGCGGCATAATCGATCACTGATCTGACTGCCTGTACATAGTATGTGCGAAGGACTTGCAGATTGGCTCCTCCAGAAAGGGAGGTTAGCGACCTGAGAATTGTCGTCCGGGCCGCAGTTCGCTCTCTCAAGTAAGTGACCTCAGCATTAAAATTCATGTGTGTCCAGGATGATTCCTAGATACTGATAGGTGTCGACCCATTCAATTGGTTGACCCTGTACTGTGAGTTGGATGTTGGGCTTCGCTATTTTAATGGGCATGGCCTTTGACTTTGAGGGGTTGAGTTTGATCCCAATCTGTTTTGCCTCTTTACTGATGCAGTCTAAGCATTTGGGTGCAAGGCGCGCCGCATCCCTTCCTTTTATGATGATGACAAAGTCGTCCGCGTAGTTTAGCAGCCTGCAGTGACGTGGAAGTTTCAACCTCATTATTCTTTCCATTAAACAGTTGAAGAGAAGAGGGCTGAGAATACCCCCTTGCGGTGTACCATTTTCATGTCTTTTGTATTCAGAGACTGTGCCATGAAGTTTTACTCTTGCTTCTCTGTTTATGAGACAGTTTTTGGTCCAGGAGAGCAGGTTGCCTCTGACCTCTTTGTCAATGAGGCAGCAGAGAATAGCTGGGGCGCTAGCCAGTTCAAAGGCTTTTTCGAGGTCCAGGAATATCAGCATTCCTGGTCTGTCATTCAAGTGGGCTAACAGAGTTGTAATACATTCCACTGTGCCAACCCCTCTTCTATAGGCATACATATCATGGTGCAGTTTAGGCATTTTCCACTCCAGTCTGTTGAGTGCCATTCTGTCAGCCGTCTTGGCTGCACAGCTTTGGAGAGAGATGGGCCTGGGATTAGCTGGATCTTTGGGTTTTGGGATCGGCACTATGTCTGCTCTATTCCAAGCAGAAGGTCTAGTTTGAGAAGTCCAGGCTAAATTAATTAACCTTAGGTATGCAGCGTCTCCCTCTGGGCCGAGGTTTCTAATCATTTTATAGGTTATTTTGTCGGCTCCAGGGGATGTATCCTTGGAGTTTTTCTTAGCCCGATTGAGCTCATCCAGTGTGAAGGGGGCATTAGTGTCAGAGACTTCTTCACATGCTGTAAGGATTCTGTGCCACCTTTCTTCCTCTAGTCCGGTCTGTACT